GAAAATAAGATTTCGGAATGTGAAGTACAAAATCTTGTGAATTTTTATTTATTAAGTTTCGGGCACAGATACCATTGTTCAGTAAGTTTATTTTTGTTTTATTTGCCTTCGTTCGGGAAAATTATTGTTTTTACATAATTTTTGTTTCTAAAATAATTACATTTATTATTGTTAAGGTAAATACATTAACAATTCTATGTTAAGATAGATAAAGCTGTATCCTAGTTAAAACTTTGATGTAAAAGTAAATAATCTGTAATTCTATCAATTAATAAATTTGTTAACATTACTAGCAGCAGGATTCCCACAGTATTTGTTAAGGATGAATTATATATGTGACTTGTTATTTGTAAGTATGTATAAATTCTTTGTATGTTGTTTTATTTGTTATTAATGAAAGTATAACTGTTTAACTTTCAGATAACCGCTATATACGCTATCTACGCTATATACGCTATATACGTTAGATACACTATATACTCCTTAGACTATGTGTTGTTTCTGGAATAAAAGTGGAAAATATAGCGCGTGAATTGCATCTTTTTGTTGCCCAAACTTAGTGAAGCTGCCCATTACGACTGTGTCGTAGTGTCTTTGTAATTTGGTGAACAGTTGAAGTGGACACCCGTATTAACGTGTTCTCTCTCAGCCACCCACGTAATCTACACTGTGTTCTTACAGTTATTGAACAGTATAGTTCCTACAGTTATTGAACACCGTGTTCTCCTACAGTTTTTGAACATAATCTATTAACGAAAAGGTGAAAGTTAATTGGATTAAACAGTATTTATTTGGATTATATTTGTAAACATATATTCCGTATCATCAAAAGATGGCAAGTGACGTAACCAGTAACGAAGCTGAAGTCAATATGAAGAAGCATGTGTCAAGCTTCCAACGAGTATCAAAGGCAATTAAAATTAAGATGGCGGCAGGCGAGTCCGACTTCCAGCAGTTGCAGAAAGACCTATGTAACTGCTGGGAGGAAATTGTTAGCGTACGTGAGAGTCATGCGACGTCAATAAATGACAAAAGGTACGAGGAAAATGCACAAGCAGTACCGGGATATAATATCTCAAATCAGTGATTTGAATCAAGAATACACGAGTTGTGCAAATTCCGTTGTAACGTGTAGCTCTACAGCCTCACGCAAGCGGAGGGCAGAACTGCGCCTCCGCCAGCTGAAAGAAAAACAAGAAACAGAGCGCAGAAGCGAGGAGGCTCGCCGGGAGCTCGAACTGCAGTCGGCCCGGCACGAGCTAGAACTTGCTGAGATTGAAGAAGAAGATTCCGATGACAGAGGAGTGCTATCCTTACTCGACGAGCCAGCAACCGATGTTCGAGTTGAAAATTACGTGAAGGACTTACCTGACAATGCAATTAGTGAAAATCTTTGTGATAATATACCATCAAGACAAATTTATTCTCAAAACGTTTATGGTTTACCTAAACCGGAGTTGATTAAATTTAGTGGGAATCCTGCTGATTATTGTAAATTCATCAGCAATTTCGAAACCAATATCGAGGCAAGGGTAAGTGACAATAGATTAAAATTAAATTATTTAATTCAATTGTGTCAGGGTGAAGCAAAATATTGTATCGAAGATTGTGTAATTTTGTCTCCGGACGAAGGCTATTTAAGGGCTAAAGAAATCCTTAAATCTAGGTACGGTAAACCACATTTAGTGGCCCGGTCCCATGTAGATAGTTTAGTAAATGGCAGTGCCATAAAAAGTAATGACGTAAAGGGACTAATGAACCTGTCACTCCATATGGAGAAATGTCATATGACCTTGACACAGCTAGGTTTTATGTCCGATGTGAATAATACGGAAAACCTACGCAAAATAGTTAGGAGACTTCCACTTCACATTCGGTCCCAGTGGGTCGAACGTGCAAGTAGCCTGATAGAGCAGGGGCTCGAACCAAGTTTTAACCATCTTCTAACCTTTGTGAGGGAACGGTCAAGTGTAGCCAATACAATGTATGGTTATGACCTTGCGAATGAGTCAAAACAAACAGCGAATTCGCAAAGAAATTCCCACATAAACCCTTCTCAGCGTAATAAAGTAGTTACACTGTCCACTGGCTCTGATAAGAGAAATTCAGGTAAATCTCCTTAGAGAAATCCGCTAGGGGACGATTATCATGTATTTATTGTAAAAAGGCCCATAAATTAAGGGCATGCGCAGAGTTTCGCTCCATTGATATTGATTCAAAGCTGAGAGTTATCAGAGAGCATGAAATGTGTGAAAACTGTTTGTATTTCAAACATGTTGCCGAAAATTGTAGGCAAAATAGTTTTTGTGAGGTTTCAGGTTGTACCGGGAAACATAATACAATGTTTCACCGAGATTCTAGTAAAATCAACAAAATTTACAAATGTTGAGGATAAATATGTTGCGGCTTCCGAATCGAGGTGTAAACAAAACAAGGTAAAGTTTACGCATAGTTCCTGTCGTCGTCGGAACGAAAACTATGCAAGTAGAAACGTATGCTCTCCTTGATGAAGGGAGCGATGTAACGCTTTGTAGCGATAGCCTTGTAAAAAGGCTTGGGGTTGAAAAGTAAACCTTGTAAGTTCACGTTAACTACAGTGAACAAGTCTGGTCAAAATATAAATGGCAAAGAAGTTAAACTACAGGTAAGTGCATTAAATGGGGGTCAGGTTATTGACCTTCAAAAGGTATGGTCTGTAAAAACCCTGCCTATATCCTTGCAGTCGTTGCCAGACCAGTCTGTGACAGGTAAGTGGAAACACCTTAATGGTATCAATTTACCGAAAATTGATGTAAACAAAGTTGAGTTGCTTGTGGGAAGCGACACCCCAGACGCATTCTGGGTAGAAGAGCAGCGAAGGGGGAATAAAGGTGAGCCCTATGCAATTAGGTCAATATTAGGCTGGAGTATTATAGGACCCACATGTAATGGATCGTCAAATGATCAAGGTAGTATCAATTTTCAGTTCGCTTCTAGTACACAGTTGCAAATCGATAAGTTATGGGCAACCGACTTCCCAGATGTCAAGAGCTGTGGCACAGGGATGTCACAGGAAGACCGTCGTGCACTTTCAGTAATGAAAGGTACAGTAGTAAAGGAAAACGGTCATTACAAATTGGGACTCCCGTGGAGAAACCCAGACGTAAGTCTTCCAAATAACGTGAAGATGGCTACGGTAAGACTATCTCATTTGAAGCGAAAACTTCAAAGAGATAATAAGTTATTTGATATGTATAAAGAAACGGTGAATGGGTATATTGATAAGGGTTATGCTTCCTTATTAGATACCAGAACGGGATTCGAACCCGGACGTATTTGGTATCTACCTCATCATCCAGTTGTGAACCCAAAGAAGCCGGGTAAGGTAAGAGTTGTCTTTGACTGTGCTGCTAAGTATCGAGGCACATCATTGAATGACAATCTGTTACAAGGTCCCGACCTAACTAACAGTATTACTGGCGTACTTATGCGATTCCGGCAGGCCCCAGTAGCATTGGTTGCGGACATAGAAGCCATGTTCCACCAGGTAAGAGTATGTGAGCATGATAGGGATTCTTTAAGATTCCTTTGGTGGCCTCAAGGTAACTTGAACGAGGAACCAAAGGAGTATCGTATGAACGTCCACTTGTTTGGTGCAACTTCGTCACCAAGTTGTGCGGCTTTCTGTTTAAAGCGCACGGCAAATGAAAATACTGATAAATTCAGTCAAGAAGCGGTAAGTACGGTTGAACGTAATTTCTACGTTGATGACCTTCTTAAGTCAGTATTAGACTCAAGTTCGGGAATTAGACTTGCCGCAGAAATGAAAGAACTTCTTTCTTTAGGGGGCTTCAGACTGACAAAGTGGCTCTCTAATTGTGACATGTCATGAATTCGATCCCGGAAGCGGATCGAGCTCAGTCAAAGGAAAAAATAGACCTTGACAACGAATCGTCATGTGAGCGAACACTTGGGTTACAGTGGCATGTTAAGTATGATCATTTTGTGTTTGATGTAAATCTCCGTGACAAAGGTACGACAAGACGTAATATCTTGTCGGTTGCCAGTTCATTGTATGATCCGCTTGGGCTTGTTGCACCAGTGACATTAACACCCAAAATTGATTCTACAACGTGCTTGTAGAACAAACCTAGGCTGGAACGAACAAATTCCAGATGCGGATGCTGAAAAATGGTTGCAGTGGCTAGCCAGCCTACCAGCACTATCGAAGGTAAGTATAGATAGATGTATAATACCAGGTGAGCTCGACAGGTCGACCTTGAAAGCTGAACTACATATGTTTAGTGATTCATCTGAGTATGCCTATGGATCGAGCGTGTACTTAAAAGTGTATGACGCGAAGGGGCACAGTAAGTGCAGTCTAGTTATAGGTAAGTCTAGGTTAGCACCTATAAAGGCTATTTCGATACCAAAGACTCGAACTTGCAGCAGCTGTAGTTGCTGTAAAACTGTATCAGATTGTCATAGAGGAGCTTGATGTCAAAATTACTGAAAGGTACTTTTGGACGGACTCTATGATTGTGTTAGGTTACATAAGAAATGAAACGAAAAGGTTTAAGACTTTCGTTGCAAATAGACTATCAATAATTCATGAGGTGACGTCACCACATGACTGGAGGCATGTACCCTCAAAGAGTAACCCTGCTGACATTGCGTCAAGGGGAGTTAATCCGCAAGAAACTGAAAAGCTTGACATATGGTTGAATGGCCCCGAATTCCTTAAAAGGAATGAATCAGGGTGGCCAGCGCAGGTAAGTAATGCAACCGTAAATGAGGATGACATAGAGCTCAAACCTCGGGCTAGTGTACTAAACACTCATGGTAAGTATAATTTAAGTATGAATACGTTACTTTGTAAGTTCTCCGACTGGCATAAACTTCAAAATGCAGTCGCTTGGCTACTACGTTTTAAGTGTTTCTTAATTGAGAAATACTTGCCCCAAAGACGAAGCCTTTACAGTAAGGTAAGTAGTAAACCCTTTAGTGTGGGGGAAATTAAAATGGCACAAACAGCCATCTTTAAATTAGTTCAAACGGAGGCGTTTGAAAATGAAATAAGTGAATTAAAGGCTCAGAGGCCAGTTCCGAGTTCGAGCCCTCTGAAAAGGCTATGTCCTATATTGAAGGATAATGTAATGCGAGTCGGCGGACGACTAGCAATGTCCGACCTACACGTAGATGCTAAGCATCAAATTATCTTGCCGAGTAGCCATCACGTGACAAGAATCCTGATACAAAACTGTCATGAACAGAATGCGCACATGGGCCCAGTACATATTCTGGCCATGTTGCGACAAAAGTATTGGATAATCCACGGTCTGCAAACAGTTAAGTCTGTTATCGGTAAGTGCATAACGTGCAAACGACAGTTACAACGACCGGAATTGCAACAGATGTGCGATCTTCCAGAAGAAAGGCTCACACCCGATAAGGCACCGTTTACGTATGTCGGTGTCGATTATTTTGGCCCGATGACTGTGAAGTCTGGAAGACGACATCTGAAAAGATACGGCTGTATATTTACGTGCTTGACCACCAGAGCAGTGCACATTGAAATTGCTCATAGCTTAGATACGGACTCTTTCATCTGTGCACTGCAAAGGTTTTTAAGTCGTAGAGGCCGTCCCGAAAAAATATTCAGTGACAATGGGAAAAATTTTGTATCAGGAGATAGAGTTTTGCGTGATAGCATTCGGCAATTTAATCAAAGTCGACTCGCAAAATTATGTCAACAGCAAGAAATGAAATGGCATTTTAATCCTCCATATGCAAGTCATATGGGCGGTATTTGGGAACGGTTAGTACGGTCCACAAAAAGGGCTATAAAATCAGTCATTGGAGAACAACTTCTCAACGATGAGGCTCTGTTAACTTTAGTTACAGAGATAGAAAAGATTCTCAATGATAGACCGATTACCCAGGTAAGTAGTGATCAAAGGGATCCAGAACCTTATCCCCAAATAAACTTTTGATTATGAGACCAAATGCTTCGTTCCCACCAGGTTTATTTGATAAGCAAGATGTTTATTGTAAACGCTGGTGGCGACAGGTACAGTATCTAGCGAATGTTTTCTGGAAAAGGTGGGTTCGAGAATATCTGCCGACCTTACAGGTAAGACAAAAATGGCATAACATTCAAAGGAATGTGTCCGTAAATGACCTCGTTCTCGTCTGCGACGAGCAATTATCTCGGGGCAAATGGCCATTAGGCCTCGTTCTGGAAGTAAACAAAGGTAGAGACGGACTTGTAAGGTCATGTAAGGTCAAGGTAAATGGGTCCGTGAAAGTACGGCCGATTACGATGTTATGTGTATTGGAACAGGAAATCGTTCATGCTAACTGATAACAATAGTCAGCAATGAATTAACGTTTAATGAGCGACTTTGTTTGCCTCGCTATTAAGACATTACGATATTTAAAAAAGTGTATATATGTGTAACATAATCTAGATTAGTATAAAATTCTAGAACTTGTGAATGTTTTGATTATTACAAAACGAGTATTAAATTCTTCGTCTTCCCTTAATATATAAGAATGAACTTATGTAAAAAGGTTCATTGAGGGCCGGTGTTCCAGACTCCGAATGTTGGTGCTGGTTTTAATTATCAGAGACCGGTTTAATATGTTTAGATAATTGTTTTGATTTCAATAAATCATGCCAACTGTCCAGCGCAGTGTTATTTTAGTGCGCTCTGGTCCCTGCCAAGACTAAGCGTTCCATAGTAATTAATGATCCCCATATTTAGAAAATGAAATTTTACTTTTATTTTCTTAGAGGGCGCTTCCTGCATTTTGGTTGGTCAAAACTGTCCCTAGAAATAATAATTACATGCAAATGCGAGATTTGCCGCCTTTCCAAGGCGCAGTTGAAAATAAGATTTCGGAATGTGAAGTACAAATCTTGTGAATTTTTATTTATTAAGTTTCGGGCACAGATACCATTGTTCAGTAAGTTTATTTTTGTTTTATTTGCCTTCGTTCGGGAAAATTATTGTTTACATAATTTTTGTTCTAAAATAATTACATTTATTATTGTTAAGGTAAATACATTAACAATTCTATGTTAAGATAGATAAAGCTGTATCCTAGTTAAAACTTTGATGTAAAAGTAAATAATCTGTAATTCTATCAATTAATTAATTACTAGCAGCAGGATTCCCACAGTATTTGTTAAGGATGAATTATATATGTGACTTGTTTATTTGTAAGTATGTATAAATTCTTTGTATGTTGTTTTATTTGTTATTAATGAAAGTATAACTGTTTAACTTTCAGATAACCGCTATATACGCTATCTACGCTATATACGCTATATACGTTAGATACACTATATACTCCTTAGACTATGTGTTGTTTCTGGAATAAAAGTGGAAAATATAGCGCGTGAATTGCATCTTTTTGTTGCCCAAACTTAGTGAAGCTGCCCATTACGACTGTGTCGTAGTGTCTTTGTAATTTGGTGAACAGTTGAAGTGAACACCCGTATTAACGTGTTCTCTCTCAGCCACCCACGTAATCTACACTGTGTTCTTACAGTTATTGAACAGTATGGTTTCCTACAGTTATTGAACACCGTGTTCTCCTACAGTAGTGAATTATATAGCAGGAAATGACAATGTTCTTATTGTAGCAATATCTCTTAGCAACGTAATGTACGTTCTTTTAAAAAATCGTTAAACAAATATAAATATTCCTGTATAAAACAAGTTTATGAAAATGAAATCTGTGAAAGACGGTTCTTATCAAAGTCGTTAAACAAATGTAAAGAATATATGACAGTGAATAAACTAAGTTAATGAAATGAAAATTGTGAAAGAAGGAATGATAGTAATAATACATATATCTTATATAGATATAAACTTTATATTGATGTAGCTGAATTATCATCACAAAGTCAAGATAAGAATTTATCAAATTCTTCATTTATCAAATTGAAATTAAATTAATATATTTTAACAGTTTTCATGCCTTTTGAATTTTCTGTATCAGTTATACAGTTTAGATATTGTGCTAATAAAATATGGTATCAAAACGAATACACTTTTTATCCTTAGAAAGAGCACGCATGAGTTGAAAAAAATGGTTTTAGAGCATGTTCGATACCTATCACCTGAATAAAAATAGTAAAATTATATAGATTATCATATCATAAAACTACATCACTTTAACTGTACTAATTACCAAACAGTAACAAATGCAAAAAATGGTTCAGGTTGTCAAATGAAATTAAGAGGACACAAAAAACTTTCAAAATATAAAAAATAAAAACATTTGAGGGGTAAATTGGGACTTAAAGGTTTTCTATAGAAAGAGAGACGTCTTTGCGTTGAAACTTGAAAACTCATTTATAAGTATATATAATACAAGGTTAAATTTAGAATTATATTGATTGTAGGAAAAATACACAAAGACTGGTGGGAAAACACGCTCTGTAACATCAAACTGTTTTTTTTTAATTCTGCGACTCTTTTCAAAAAAGGTTTGTTTTTTATTCGCACATACAACGATGATAATAAGGGTTTGCAAGAGGTAATTTCATTCCGGAAGAAGTGAACATTTACATTTAAAACAAAATAATCAATACTTTTATTTAGATACAGAGACACATGATAAAGATCTGTTACCAATCTGTCAGGCTTGGGGTAATGATACTGGTAATGGTAATGCAGTAAGTATGTATTACTTTTCTTGAGAGTAATCCAATGTAATGATACTGCATGCCGATTTGCATTACTTGTAATGGTACTGGAATACAAAATTCATGTAATGAAGGTGCATTACTATGCATTACTTTGTATTACTTCACCAAACCTATTACATCATATATGGTATGGATGATCCAAAGAACACAAGATAAAATTGTGATAGTCTTAATCAGCTAAATAAAATATAAAATCATGAAAATTCAACCAAAATAACCAATCTGATATTTTATACACCTTTATGAAAAGCCCTGCTACCAACCATAACCCTTTATGCAAGATAATATTACTATTTGACACTTGCCATTGTTTGATCATTGGACACATAAGCACCTTTTTGGAGTTTTAATTGTTACATGTACATTATGTCAAGCTGCCATGTGCCAGACTAATTATCACGAAATTCTTAGTCACTATTACTGACTTAAAATACAATTTTAAGTTAAAACTTACAATACAATTTTAAGTTAAAACTTTAAATACAATTTTAAGTTAAAACTTAAAATACAATTTTATGTCAATTCAGTTTTGTTGTATTTTTATCCAAGGTAAAACACAGAGATGGATATCTTGAGTCATCTAAAAAGATAAAAATCTATAAAGGCAGATAATCAAGCAAAAATCACAACAATGGTACAATGCAAAATATGACAGAAGACAACACGTTGTCAGAGAAACCCACTACCGACTCTTGGTCACTTGCAGGTCAAAAACAAATTTTATTTAAGGTATATGAACTTTTTCGCTGTCATGAAGTGAGGATTTATTGTGACACACCTGAAAAATTTATAATGCATTTATCATTACAATTGCAATAAAATGACGATGTATTTGTAGTCCAACATATATATTAGTGAACGTATATCTTAAGAACAAAAATATAATTACATTTTGTATTCTATGACATAACAATGTTGACAAGGCATTTATCATTATAATTGGAAAAAAAAGACGATGTAATGTTTGTCAAGGATACATGTTTATGCTCCTATACAAACAAATAAACTTGAAGTGTTTTTTCCTTTGCTATCGTTGCTAATTATTTGCTAAGAAAATTGCTCACGTCATTCTGTCATTAAAGTCAATATTACATTTTTTCTTTTACTCTAACTGGACTGATTTGTTATTAAAATTACGAGTTTTAATTTTCTAAGAATATTTCTTACAATTTAATGTACTGTGGCATGGTTTTAATAAAGATGCTATCAAATATTACAACCATAACAGACAACTGTTTGGTGTTGGAACCTAAAATGATTACACTTTGGCAGCCAAGTTAGTCTGCGCATCTAAAATTCTGTAGTTAGTCTGCAAATCTGTGCTGTATGAACAACATGTACACTGTTGTCTGTCTATCTTCTAATTTTCATCTTGATATCCATAAAATTAATAATGGACAGAGCCGAAAGCATTAACTTTACTGTAATCTTTCTCGGTAGACATATATGATATATTGCGGTCCAAACTATCTCGGCTAAAACGAAGTACATGACTAGAACGATATGATTGGCCATAACAAACTTCATACAAATAATAGGTAGTAACATATTTGTCATTTCTATATAAAATGGTTTTTAATTAACACTTTATTACGAAGCGTTTCTAGTTAATTAATACATTTCAACGATACTAATTCGAATATAGGCTTATGTCTTCTTAAATTGTATATTATATGACAGAATTATACAATATTCACTATATTTCTTTTATGACAAACATATGGCAGGTGTAGTACAAATATTCCTAGAAGAGTTCAATTAATTTTTCTCTATCCTTTTATGAACACTGTGGCAAGAAATCTAATGCTACGAAAAAGCGACTGTGATACAACACATATGATGGTAATATTATATACATATCACAGTATTTTTAACAAAATGACATTGTCAGCAACATTTAACTCTTTACAGAAAAACAGACATGAGAGAGCTTAATTCAAGAATCCCTTTGTTGGATTTCATACTGAGGATAAATACAATGCAAGGTATGTGTCAGTAGACAATACGTTCCCGGAGAAACCTATTGCCGACTCTTGGTCACTTGCAGGTCAATAACAAATTTCATGTAAGGTCTTTGAACCTTTTTCGCTGTCATGAAGTGAGGATTTATTGTGACACACCTGAAAAAATATATAATGCATTAACCATTATAATTACAATAAAAAGACGATGTATTTGTAGTTAAACATATATATTACTGATCGTATACTCACACATAAAAGTGAAGTGTGTTTTTACTTTGCCATCATTGCTGATGATTTGCTTGGATCT